AGATTTGGGGCAAACTTCTGGACCAGTGGAAATACCCAGATGGATTCACAGGGCTACCTGCTGAACAGTCCTGTTAGTGTAGTAATGTAACTCTTCTCCAGTCATCTCTTATGGTTACAGAACTGATTGCAGATCTATTCCCTTGATAACCTTTCTGCAGGCATCTTCTTGATGCTGGGATATAAAGATAACTATTGCATAGATCTATATAAAAATATATAGAATATATATAGTACATGTTATATATATTTTTATGTGTGTGTATATGTATAAAAAATAATACATCTTAAATCTTGGATGATTCCAGTTCCATGTGTCCTAAGTGGGGAGATCTGAAGAGTCCTAGCTATCATGATTCTTGGAACTTTCTCTCATGCATTACTCAATTGGTAATGCCGGCACAGGTAGTCCTACTGTGTTCATTAAACTCGAGCAATTACTGAGAAGTCTTAGAGAAATCATGTATGTCTTCACACCTGTTGATATGCAGTTCTTAAAATACTTGAGTGTAAGTCTAAATGATAAATTAAAAATCTAAACTGTGCAGGTGAGAGTATACTGTTTCTGAAGAAGGGAGAATGTTGCTGTCTTTTGGCTGAACTTTGTCAGGTCAAGCTCATGCTGAAGGCTTGGATTTCATTCCTTTTGCCAGCTGGAGAAGATCCATTGAAGCAGGTGAGAAGCAGAAGACAGCTGGGTCTTGTTTCCGTATTACGTAGGGCTGGGACATGATTTGACCTTGAGGGATTAAGTAGAGTCAGGCCAGGATCTGAAAGAGACTAATCTGTATTTTTTCGCGTGTAGGTTGTTTTGATGAATTATTGGTTGAAACTATTGTTTCTGTATTGATGCTGTTTAATCCATTAGCAAAGTACTTAGAGGATGTTTTGTTACTGTGTGCTATTTGTGATTGAGTCTGAAAATGGAGATATTGACTGCTAGTATATTCTTCACAGCTTTCACATGGAAAGGTCATTTTGCTTCAATTTTTAACCACATTTTAATTCAGGTATTTAGACAATCTTATCTATTTTTTTAATGTAATTTTAATTCAGCCCCCTTATCTTTGCTGCTTTTCCTGCATTTAAAATGATGCTTAACAGTGCCTGTTTCTGTTCCCTTTTTATTCAGTGGAGATTGCATTAATGTAGGCAGTATCATTAGTTATGCAGTGGGAGAATTAACATATGCTATTAATTGATGGAAGATACACAACGAATGTTATGTTTACTGTTTCCTGATGGAGCTGTACGCTCCCAAGCATAATTTTATGTGTAAAGGGAACAGTTGATCATGTAACAAACAGGAACTATTTCTCACCATTCTAAGCAAAAAGTGTGCAGATAAAGATAACCTAAGGCCCGTTCCTGTTATTTGCTTTGTTAAAGAAAAAGATGCTGCGTTTTGCAGCTTGTTCTATTCTGGCCTGGTCTATCTCCTGCTATTTTCCTTCTGCCTTCTCCACTTGAAGGATTTCTCCAACTCTGTCTCAGCAGAATTCACATCTTTTTTTTTTTCTTTGTTTTTTTTTTCTAATATAAAACACTTCATTTGACATTTGAATGTGTCAGCAAAATCTTCTGTTTCCCTACAGGATGTTTTGCAGCTTGACAGAAGCTGCTCTAACTAACCTGCCACTGACTTTGTAAATCCAGTCTTCCACATGATTTAGTATGTCTCTTTGAAAACCTGTGTTCGTGTTTCAGTTGTAATAACAACGATTGCTTGCCTTTGAGAATGATTACACTTTTTTCTTAATGATGTGGTTGATATAGTGCAAGATGTGTGAGCAGTATATGACTTTTCTCCCTCAGACATGATATTAACTTAAAATCAAGGGAGTTCAATGAATATGCTCCAAACTTTATTTTTAAAAATGCTGTAAGAGATTAACCTGTTAGGCAGAAATTCTTCAGAAATTTAGACATTCACATTCTATTTCAAGAAGAATTTGGGGCATCCTAGATAGGAACTTCTTTGTGAATATGAATTCAAGACTAAAGGAGCACTCTATTTCACTAACAAAAATAATTTCAAATTCTGTATGTTATCTGAACAGGATCAGACTCGTCTCATCTTGATGTAAATAAGGTTCTAGCACCTGAAGCTCCAGTGGTTAGTAGGTACACATGCTCATGCAAAGAGATGGATAGGCTGAAGAAAATAATTCTAAATCCAGACCTCTTCATATGTGACCTACTTGTTCAAACCCAGGCAAATGAAAAAGGGAGGAACCAGACCTAGCAGACCTTTAAGTCTGACATTTTAGTATGGGTGTTCAAGTAGTACTGCTGAAAATGCCCATCATGTGCTTCCTTTCTCACAAGAATTGAGAGTGAGGTCAGTCAAGCCTCCTCTTTCTTGTTGACCGTATTCTACTGATAAGTGAGCTCTTCTTGTCTTAAAATGCCATTAAAATCTATTCACTGAGTCATAATTCTAAGACTTTTTCTTGCTGAACAAGAGAATATGGACTAACAGATAAATGCTACTTCTGGGAGAATAGCTTCCTATCAGATTTTTACATCTGTTACCAAGAAACTAGTTAGAACAAAGCACCAGCAGAACTTTCTCAATGTTTGCAGGTACTAAAAGACTTAATGTCGCTTGGATTTTGCTTACACTGCTAATAATTTTCTTGTTCCTTGCTAATAATTTTCTTGTTCCACTAGTTTGTTATTTTTCTGCTCTGACTGCTTTGAAGGCAGTTACAGAAAAAACTTTCCTCTTCTGCAGTCTCACAAGTAGTTCAGTTATTCTGAAAGATAGCAGAAAATAGAGGAGTGCCTTTTGCAATATGAAGAGAAACTTGTGTGTAAGTAAGAAAATCTCAGTAGAAGTCTGCACTCCTTATGTTGTCAGCACTTTTCGTCAGAAGCATCAGCATCATGATCATGATACAATTTCTCATTAGGGTTTTGAAGCCTATTGTCATATAATGTCACTGATGCATCACAGACATATTCTCTACAATAATAAGATCTTGTTAAGCGGAAGATAAAAATATAAAAATCAATGTAAACTTCTCCAGATAACCCACCTGGGGGATTCCCAACAGGATAAGATGGCCAAAGATTTAAATGGTATTACTAATCAGCAGATTTGGGATTCTTAGTTCATGGGTGTGGACAGTTTAGCTCAGGTAAGGAGCAGTGGCCTCCAAACTTGTTTAGCTTGAGTGCTAATCAAGCCGTGAAGTAGAAAGATTGCTGATAAGGTAAGGAATAGGTGGGAAATGTTTATTGAACACTAGAGGGGTAGCTGTAATACTGCTGAAGTTTTATGGATCTGCTGGCAGAAGCTTTGTAAGTTAAGACATTGTAAGTTATGGTTTCTCAACAAAATTGGATTCAAAACAGGTATCAAGGGAGGAAGAATCAAGAAAAATGGTTGTAATTGGGAGGTAATAGAAGAAACAGCTTTTTATTTCCACAGCTAGTGCTGATCATAGAACAAGATCAGACTGCTCTAAGCAATCAGAGAAGATTGAAAGCAGGCTATATCTGGTATGCCTGGAAACAGGATGATATATTAAATACACGTAAAATATGTGTAATAAGATAGCTTCATATTAATTCTTCCATCTGAAAAGATTAATTTTGCCCTGGAGCAGCATTTATCTGGCACTTAACTCATGTTTGTGCAGAGTTCCCTGATTGCAGGCACAATGATGCATGTGTTTTCTCTCAACACTAGAGGCTTGCTGAATATGTGATGGGCTGCCACATGCTACTTATTTCCTAACATCTTAATATCATAGTTTCAGTGTTGACTAATTTAGTTGTTATCTTTATAAAATTATACTGTTGTGGTCTGTGCTTTGTTTCTTTCTCCTTCTACAACAAAGAAGAGAGAGAAACTTTGTGAATAGGTTATGGCTATTAAAGTATTGAGGCATATGGCAGAGCAAATAACAACGCTTGAGGCCATCATGTCTTGTGACTGCAGTGGTTTGAGGGGAAAGAATATGTGAAGAATCTTCAGTAGGCCAATGTGGTTTATATTGATGAGAACATAAATATTTTGATTTTTAATAGACATTGGACCTGCAGTTTCTTTGCAGATCCCAATCTGTGATTTTGATGGGAACTTACAAGTTTAGTACAGAAATTTGGCTTTGGATGAGATGGTAACCCAGTTACTTATATCTCTAGCATGCTTTCTAGGAGGTGTAGCTGGTAAACATGTTTTGCTCTAGCTGATTTGCAGAGGTGTCACAGGTGCCTGTGAAAGCTAATTTCCTGTGAAAAGTTGGAATGATTTTAGACTTTGCTTAAGAAAATACTTTAGACGGCTTCACTTTTTGTTTTCAATTTACTTTTTAACAATGTGTTGCAGCTTTGTGTTATCCAGGGTTATGTTAGCTCTCATAAATATCCTTTGCTTAGCAACAGGGATGGCATTTGGGATATCAAGCCAACTGGAAAGAATACCTCAGACAGGGCTCTGTTGGGGTGGGTGGATAAGCTTTCCTGACAACACTAGCTCTTTTGCTGCTATCTGTCATAACTTGTGTTGCTAGGATCTGTTTCACAAGTCTTGTGATAGACTTCTAAATGATGCTGTGGCTTCTTTTGTTTACTGTCAGAAAGAAACACAATGTGGAGAAAGTGAGCAGTAAAAGAATATGTAAAATAATAAAAAATCTGTGCACATAAGACCATGAGTGTCTGTACTAGGGCAGCTGTTCTTGAAGGGAAAAAGAAGTTAAATTTCCTTTGGATTGCTGAAATGGAAAGCAATATATGGTAACATTTCATTTCTCTACTTTTTAATGAACTTGGTTTCTTCAGCAAAACAGGAAAGAAACTATTTAGTCATAAACTGAAAACATAAATTAGAATTCAGATTTCCCATGTTTGATGCTCACCATTAATGAATGTATTTTCATTCACAGATGTAATTCACATTCTTGCTTCTAAATCAGGTTTTCATTATAAATTGGTAGTTTCATTATGAGTCCACTCAGCCTGCTTGACCTTTCATGCTTTTACTTCCAGGGGAAAAAGAAGATGAACAGATAGTTGCAGAAATCATGAGAAGGCGTTTTTTTCCTGCTGTTATAACTCATAAGACCTGGGAAGGCTTTCACTTTGCTGGCCATGAGATAAGAATTACAGAAGCCATTGATTGTTATGGGGCAGTCGTCTGGCCATCGGTACAATATTTATGCGGTATTGTTATTTCATAATTTTGGAGTCTTCTAGCATTTTTAATTTCTTTTGCCTGATAAATATGTTTTGTTGTATGTTGTGAACCTAAGGAATACCTTCTGTGCTTCTCTGTCTCCATTCTGCAAATCCCAAACCTGAATTTAGCTTGGTTTCCTATGGATTCCTGGTTCTCAGAGCTTAAATGGTATTTCTTGTTTGTGCCTCTCTCATACAAGCTGTATGATCTTGTGTCCCCTTCTTACCTACCAGGAACTTTTGATCCTATTTCATCCAAATTAGAAGCACATTTTGAAGGAAAAAGGACAGTCTTATGATGATCACATTTCTATACATTCTGTAAATAGCTGTACAGCAGGCAGAACCAGGCTGGGGAAACAGCTGTGATATGAGTTCATAAGGTATTAGGACTCATAGAAGCTACTCAACATACTCATATGGGAAAAAAAACTTACCTTGTAAATATGTAGACATGGGAAAAGGTTCAGTTGGAGCTTTCAGTTTCTTAAACAGCCAGAAATCTAGTGGGAGAGAACCATTGTCCTTAGCTATTGATATAAGAACCATCAACATGCCAACCATAGAGTCCTCTTCAGAGTTTTGATCTGTATAATACAACTGCCTGTTTCAAAATAATGAAGAATGAAAGAAGCTGCTGTGTTCAGGGAGGTGCCAGGATGCCCTATTGACACTTGTGGCATCCAGAGAACATTCCTGAAACAGAATCGTCTTCAGCACGCCCCATAGGAAGGAGAGAACTAAAACCCAGGGGGCTCCATTTCTGTCCCAGTGGTATCAGCCTTCTAGGATCTTTAAGAAATATGGCCATAGTACAACTGAGGACATTTAGCATTCTCTGCTGTTTTGAACTCCAAAAAATTTTCTGTCTTAGCAGACCTGGACTAGTCATTTATACTATATCTTTTAGCAGCCCCAGTGCAAGTCTTTCCTATAAAGGTTCAGCCAGTTTAGCTGTGGAAGGAAGGCAACCATTCTTTCTGTGTCTTTTCATGTTCTGCCTTCTAGTCCCATCCAGCAGTATTTGAACCCTTCCAGAAAATGCCAGTCAAATTGAGAGAACAGAAACTTTAAGGAAAATAAAGTTTCTGCATGTTTCATGGGAACGAGGGCAAATTTCAAAGTTTCCATAATTTAACCCTCAGAAATACTGATCCTCTGCCCGCAGTTTCTACAACAGAATATGGCAAAACTCCAAGAGAAGAAATTATAGGAATATATGGAGCTAACAGGAAATCTTAATATAATGTGGTTTTAAATGTCAGCCAAACATCAGACACAATCTTTAGGTAGCTGGCTTTAATTAGTCCTGGTTCTCACAGACATATTTCTATATCAAAGCTTTGTTGAATGTGAGACATATGGAAGTTCACATAAAAAACCCTACTCTTTTTTGCTCTGAATTAAGAGGTAGAAAGCAAAAAACCCGTTTGCATTTCTAGCATGTTAACATTAGGTCAATAGTACTCCTGTTCCTTTCCTTCTACATCTTAATTGGTTAAAAACAAAACTAAGTGTGTCATTTTATTGTGCCAGACCAAGCCACTAGTAATTGGCTTTCCAAATGATCATCTGTATTGCAAGAAGTTCTGGCAACCATCATATGTAATTGTCAATAGAGATTGTATAATTATCAAAGTCTGTGAAAAACTGTGGGAGACAAGCTGGAATCTATCTTTGCAAGAGCAATAAAGTTAGAAACTTCTATTTCAGCAGTGAACTAAAACTCACTGGTCAGTATGAGGCAGGGCAGAAAAGGTGAAGAAGCTTCTTAATGACAGTTTATAAATGCATATATGAGGAGTCTGTTCTTTGGCTTTGCTCTGAAAGTTTGCTAAGCTTAACAAGGAAAGCACATAGAAACTGAAAACAAACTGAACTGGAAGAAAAGGGGTAAATCTATTGGTCCTTTTTGACTCATTAGGTATTTAATTATTGTTGGAAATAATTAACTGTTGGAAGAGTTTAACAAGGGTTGTGGATTTTCTCTCACAAACGGTCCTTATATCAAGATGTCTTTGGGAAGCATATGTCTTAGCTTGACCAAAAGTGCAGTTATAAGCAGGATCTGGTGACTGGAATTCTATAGCTCATGTTATGCAGCATGACAGACTATTTAACTGCAATTGTTCCTCCTGGCTGTAATGCTTTGTAAGCCTATACTGAGACGTGTTGTGGCACTTATTTTGTGAGCCTAAAGAGCTCGGCAGTGCTTGAATGATTATTGCTCATTTGAACAGACAAGAATTTTTTGCATGCTTTTAAATGACAATGCATATTTAGTGAAGGAATTTATTTCATTAATTTGTTCAGTGTGTTCATGGATTCCCTCCCCTACAGGCTCTTGTTCTATGTTATTTTTTGGAAACTAATTCTAAACAATGCAATTTGGTTGACAAAAATGTGATTGAAATTGGAGCTGGAACTGGGTTGGTCTCCATAGTAGCCAGTTTACTGGGTGAGTACATACCATTGCTCTCATGCTCTTGGAAACATCTCTCAGGTGAATACTGGATGGCAAAGGAAGTGGGTCATTTCTTCTAAAAGACTTGTTTGAAAGCTTTCAAGAGCAAGAAAAAGTAAGTTCCAAAAGGCTTGTTTGAAAACCAGTCTGTAAAGCTGTGAGTGACTCTATTGATGCGATAAAGGGGGTCCCAGTAGATGATGATGTCATTAACAGTGTTAAACAAGGGACCAAAATAAGAACCTGTGGCCTCTCAGGATGTGAGTGGCAACCAGATGAAGCCAGATGTAGGCTTGAGCAATGCGCCACCTTCCATTGTCCAAACAGTTCTTTGATTGCCAGGTCATTTTCATTCCATTCGTGTTGAGCATTTTCTTTCAGCAGCTGATCAGCAACTTAATTTTTCTGCTACAGACACTGCTGTGTTTTCTCTCATGGTAGCCTATTTTCCCTCAAGAGTGATCCAGTTCAGTGACTTCTGCATTTTAACAGACTTTTAGCTTTCTGTAGTCTGGGAAAGCTGATTTGTATGTGAAAAAGAAAGAACCCAAGGCAGTGCTTAAATCTCATGCTGACTTCTTGGAGTGGTAACTGGCATTTTTCAATCCCTAGTTACTCACTGTACTTTTAACCAATATGATATCAAGATCTAGTATCTGATTTCTCCCCACTCATCCCCAATTGCATTCAGCTGGCAATCTGTAAAGTAGAACTACTGGGAACCAAATCTTTATTTTAAGCACAATGGCTAAGAGTTATTTGGATTATTTGCATTGTTCTGTTCCCCTGGGAGAGCTATGTGCTAAAGGCAGTTCCTTGTCCACGTAGCTTTCATTTATACCATATCTTTTACTCAAGTCTTGAAGTGTACTCAAAGTTTGTTTGTTTTCTCCCTGTCACAGGTGCACTTGTGACTGCCACTGATTTGCCAGAACTGCTTGGAAACCTCCAGCACAATGTTCTCCGAAATACAAAGATGAAATGCAAGCACCAGCCTCATGTTAAGGCATTGTCTTGGGGAGTTGATCTGGAAAAGAATTTTCCTAGGTCTTCCTGTCACTTTGACTACATTATGGCTGCTGATGTAGTTTACCACCATCCCTTCCTGGATGAACTCCTCCTAACTTTTGATCACTTGTGCAAGAATGACACTGTTATTCTGTGGGCTATGAGATTTCGGTTGGAAAAGGAGAACCAATTTGTTGGCAGATTTCAGACACTGTTTAATTTAGAGGTGCTTTCTGATTTCCCCAGTTTGAACATAACCCTGTATAAGGCGATGAGGAAAAGCAGGATGACAACCAGACCTTTCAAACTCATGGTCTAAAAGAGAGGGAGAGGGAGGTGACAGCTTCAGCTGTTCTCCAGCTTGTTCTCTTTCCAGTAATTTCCACCCTAGTAGCTGGTAACACCTGCATGAATGACATCTTTAGAATTAGGTAAAACAAAACATCAGATTCTTAGTGCATCCCTAACAAATTCCTAAATTCAATTTGCTGATACATTTCTTCTGCAGATGAAGCTATATTTGACATTTTCTTGACTTCTATGTGCTAAGCTGACGCTACTAATAACTTTTGCAAGTCTTACCTTTATTGTTATGGTTATGTAATGAATATTTTCATTAGCTTTCAATTGCAGCTTTGCATGGTGTCTTATAAGATCAACTGATCATTTAAAACTTGAGACTATGATAAATCTTTATATTTAAAAATTGTGGTGTTAAATGTGATCTTTCCCTCTTCTCACTATTGTGTGAATCCTTCATTTGAATAGCCTTTATAGCATATTAGCTGAAAAAAAACCATCACCTGGGAAATATACTGTCATAACAAAGGGACAGAATGTATTAGTTACCATTTGATTTAATGATTATGCTTTTTTCCCCCTCCATTTTTTTATTTAGATTTGGGGATTCTTCAACAGACAGCTGCACACACACAGATTTAAATGTCTTTTTGCTTGAACAAAGGTCTTGGATAAGAAAAGTACAGCATATCACAAGGTGCCCTTTGTAAAGACCTTAAATTCTTGGAGGTCTGCTTCTCCAAAAATAGACGGTTATCTGGACCTCAGGGAACAGCAATGGAAAAAGGACAGTGGCCGTCCAAAGAAGTTTTGCACTGCCAGCTGGTGGTGTCTGGAGGTAGGAAAATAAACCAGCCTGACACAGTGCGGCTGAAGCATGGGCAGGCTTGGATGATAATTTGGTTTTGTAGTGTGAGAAAACAACATGCTTTTCTCCTAGCCAATCAACACTGTGTGTTCCTGTTCTCAGTGCTCAGATTAATGTCCTTAGAAGTCTATCAGAGAACTTTCTTTTGGGAAGATTAATAAAATTATTCTTTGCACACTGCATATTTTCTGATTCTGTTCGTAATTGAGTGCGAGATACCTTCAAATCCCTTGCAGACTTGAGAAGAAAACCTATCTCATGTGCTAATGTCTGGGTACTAATGTAACCACCTCTGTTGCATGCAATTGCTCTAGTAACATGAGGACTCTGGGCCTTGTCAGTCTTCACTGGTTTAGTTTCTATTCACAGTTCCTCCAGGAATTTTTTATTTATTATCAGATTTGAGCATACAAATTTTTTTTTCCATGCTGTGTAATAGAAATAATTCAGTTTAAGTGAATAAAGAAAACATGGATTTCTGCCATTTCAAGATTTTCTCTCCCTGCTTTCTTCCTCCTAACTCACTTGCAACCATCAAATCCACTGCAATTGGAATTCTAATCCTTTCATCCCAAAGGGCATCTCTGTTTACAAATGTTTCATGGATAAATGGGTTGGCGCTGTAATTAGTGAGAAACAGCAGAAATATCCTGTGAACTCCCTAGTGATGAGGGCTAAAGAGGAAGACTACAGCAAAATATTTATATATGATCACTTTTAAATAGGCGTTCTGCTGATTAGCTCTCCTATTTGGGCTACAGGCTGTCCCCCCGCTGAGCTCCTGTTGAAGTCAACAGGAGATGTATTTGTTGAATGGATGCGGGATTGGGTCCTTTAGGCCCAAGAACTTGTTTAATATTTACTGTAGGGTAACAGTAAACATTTGCCCTCTTTCTCACAAGTCTGTCAAGCACTGCTGTGTGAAACTTCCTGAGAAAGCTCTAGTGACTGGCTGCTCCATTGTACAGCCACCTTTCATCCTCTGGTATGATGGGCAGGTTATTAGCCATAACCAACAGAGGGTGAGGTTGTATGTGACGTTTGTCTATGGAGCATATTTCTGCTCTTTGAGAACAAGTTTCACATTAATGTTGAGTATTACTGACTTCTAAAGTCAGTCATAATTTCAATAATCACTTTTTGTTCTAAAATTTCAAGTGGAAAATCCAGTTGTCATTCAGTGCATTATATTGCTAATACACAGAGCATTTGTACCCATAGTTTGTGAAAGGAGGAGTGAAAAAAGGTCAGTTAAATTTGTGGGTGAAAGATCTGAGAAGATCTGAGAAGATTTTATGGTTTCTACACTGAGAAGATTTTACGGTTTCTACACGGTCATATTGAGTTTTTGGCTTTGTCTTGATGAATCTTGATGTTGTGGCTTTCAATGATGTGATTTCATTTGCATTATTAAACTCAGCAATTTGGGCTTTGCTTCTTGTAACAGCTATAAGAAAAAGCTGTAACTGCAGAATATTTAAAAAAAGCATTCAAATGACAGTACAGATCTACTGTGCAAACATTGTTTTCATTTAGAAGCAGTAATGGAGGCCCAGCCTAAGAAATGCAACTGCCAAAACAATACTCAAATAAATACCCATGGCACAAATGGCAATTGAATGATGAACAACTTAGGTTAGCTGTTATACAATCACTAGCAGGTGTTATGTAAGCAAAGAATACTAGCTGCCACATGTGTTCTCCTTGATCATGGTTGGTATTAAAGATTGTTGAGCGTGTCAGCACAGATAACACAATCTTCTGAAGAAATTCTACATTTACCAAACAACAGAAGAACCTGAAACCTGAAGAAGTTTACAAGACCCAGATTCAGCTAATGTCCTTTGAATGCTGGAGACCTGAAAAGTACAGGATTTTTGCTGCCTCATAGCCATTAATACTACACTGGTAATCATGAGATGATCTCAAATAAGTTCAGTGAGAAAGATAGATAGAGGTTTTTCAAGATGTCGTTGCTCCATACGTATACTTCAGAAACTGATATGCTCTTTCTTATAATAGCTCTGTGACTCCAGGGATATATTGTCATGCAGGTGTAAAGCAAAGAGGGAACTGAGCTAAATGTTGGGTGACTTAACTTCAGTCACAGTGGAAAGTCCAGTACCAAAGTTCTTTCACAGTAAAAATAACATTTCCTGTGTTCTGTTGTGTTTGAATTTTCTCACACTGAAGAAAATTTTTGATTAATTTTATTAATTTATTAAAAAAAAATTTCAAGTCACTCGGTAGATGCATTACAAAATCCCAGAGAGTATAAGAACTCAGCAGCAAACAAGAATAAAATATCAATTTTCCCTTTCACATAGTTATGCCAACTAACCAAACGATATACAGACTGTATTGGCTACTGTGACATTTCAGAATCATTCAGGTTGGAGGCACCTCTGAATGTTGCCTAGTCCTACATCCTGCTCAAGCCTGGGCCAGATGCAAAATCTGAACAGGTTACTCAGGTTCTGCAGTTGGTATATGAAAATCTCCAAGAAAGGAGATTCTACAACTTAACTGAGCAGCATGTTAATTTCTGTTAATTCCCTGTCCTTTCCCCATCCAACTGGAATTTCTCTTGGTGTGTCTGGGCATCTATCTTTTGTACTTCTGCAGTGCACCTAGGGCTTCATCTTCTCAGTAACACTCTTGTTTGGTAGTAGAAGACAGCCATTAGGTATTAGATACCCCTAATCTTCACTTCCGGTTGAACAACCCAGAACTCCCACCATTGGCTTCCTTCAGCTGCCTTAACCATTTTAGTGATCCTCCTTTCTGGTTTCTCTCTAGTTTAAGATCTCTTTCACTAGTGGTTCCACAACTGGACACAGTACTACAGGTGGGGTGTCATGATGCCATGTAGAGAGCTAATAATCACTGTGAATGATCTGTTTGCTACCCAATTGCCAGTGCAGTTAGCTTGCATCTGTTGCAAGGCTATACCACTGTCTTTGCTCCTGTTTCATTAGGACCTCCTGTCCTCTTCTGCAAAGGTGCTCTCTAGCTACTCAGCTCATGGCCGGTGCCATTGCACGGTGGTGCTCTGTTTGGACTTCACGTGGTTTTTGCCAGCCTGTTTATTCAGCCTGTCAAAGTCCCACTGAGCAGCTCTGCCTTTACCCCAGTTTGGAGTCTGAACAACATTTGATTTCAATGTATTTAATCCATTGTTCATGGAAATGCTTAATGACATTGGGCCCTGTCCTGACCTCACCTGCATCACTGTTACTGGCTGATAGCTGGGCTTTGGACTTTTGCTTACTTCCTTTTGAAGTTTAATGTTCCACTTGGGCTTTTTAACCACTTTGTAGCCCATTCATCCAGTCTGTATCTTTACAATTGAGCAGTGGCCATGAGGAGAGAGCAGCAGTCCTGAGGGGAGAGAAGGGGCATCCATGAAGGGAGATCCTGAAGGGAGAGGAAGGGCAGCCATGAGGAAAGATCCTAAGGGGAGAGGAAGGGTAGCCATGAGAAGTGAAAGGTGGTTCCTGAGCAGACTGAAATCTCCTCTCCTGAAATCTAATGCCTATATTCTGCTATTTGCCTTTTTCACTTTTCTTAGGATCTTTAACCACCATCTCAAGGTTGCTGCAGCCAATGCAGCCACATGCTCTCATAGCCCTGACTTTATTTATGAGATGCAGATTCAGGAAAGCATTTTGCCTATCTGGCCAGACTAGCATCTGCATCAAAAATATTGACCCCAAAGCACTCCAGAAACCTTGTGAATTGTTTGCAGTGTTGTGAGTTGACTTTCCAGCATACATCAGGGTTGGTTAAAGTGTTTTGTGAGAACCAGTGACTGTTTATAAAGAAGGCTTGTCTGCTGTCTTATCTCTACCAAGTGTTCTGTCGTAGATGTCCCTGTTGATCTCCCCTCTGATCTTCCCTGTAAACTCTTGTCTAGCTCATTGCCTTATCTAAAGCAGGGTGCCATTCGTCTGAACATAGAGTGCAATTCTCCCCTCCAACTTTGTTCTCTGTTCCTGTCCTTCTTGAAGAGCTGTAGATCAAAGCACTGCAGTGGTGCTAGTTATCTGAAAGACAATGCTCTAAACTATACCACTGTAACTCTGCTACCATCTCTGAGGAAGAATAGTAATTGGAAATCAAAAGACAAGTAAATCAAGATTACTTATGAAATGCTGCAGACCTTTAGGAGCTATTCAGACATAAAGTCCAAATGCACTGAAATGCTGAGTGCTCATAGTCTAGGAGGTCCATAATTGAGTTTTCTGCAGAACATTATTCATCAATTATTAAAGATAATTAATCTGTAGTATCAGATTTTTGCATTATTGGGTTGCCCAGATTATTATTATTACTACAACAAATTAGCTATAAGTTATCTGTGTTATTGATTCTACTAACATCCCTTTCAGGCTTGAAGTCAGTTCATGAAAGCAGAAAGTGTTGTCGCTCTCATGATGCAATTATTACACCCAGGTGTGTAGCACTGACTGTTGCACTCTGCCTTGGCAGCAGACTAAAAGGGTCATTAGATATTGGCTGTGTTCCTGCCAGGAGTCAATCAGTTTATGGTAGCATTAGCACTCCTCTATTAATTGGTAGAAGTGTATGCGCCCTCTGGATAAATGAACAGATTTCTTGATGGTGGAGATCACCTTTGGAAGGCACGATTTCTCATTATTTCTTGTACTGATCTCTCAAAAAAAAATTGTTAACACTGTTTCCCAAGTGGTCTGAACAATCAGAAAACATGGTCCTGATGACCTCATAGCAAAACCCTGGAAGGCTCAGCTGTCATGCTGCTGTAAAAGGTAAGCAAGAAATCTAGCTCCATTCCACTTTATTGAAACATGGACAGCATTGCTTTGATTTTCGATGAGAATACACAGACAGGGATAGATGGCAAGTCTGACTTAGAGAATCAGAGACTACGAGCATAAAGAATACTTTATTGCCTGTTTCTGCCTGATACAGATGACTGTTAAGACATTTTAAAGTATACTCCATAGTCTGCCTCTTCCCAGACTAGATTCCTTTATCAAAGAAAGGAAGCTTTTAGGGGGAGTTTTAGTCTGAATTAAAATGAAAATCCTCACAGTTTCAGAGAGTCATCTGGATTTAGGTGGTGACAGTGAATGTCTAAGGAGCCCTGATTAGTGCCGTGTCTCCCAAAAATGAGTGGTACCCAATGCTATAGCGCAGGTACATGAAAGACTGTCTCAGACTAAATGGCGGATAAAGACTCTTCAGCTTTTGAAATCTATTTTTCCTAGCAGCACGGTAGGCAAATAATTTCTGTCAAAGCATGTTCATTGGAACTGATATGTTCTGTAATGCCAGTGTTTTATACTGTAAGCCAACATTATCAGAAAAGTCCCAGCAAATTCTAATTAAGAAAATGAAATGGGAAAAGATGTGTTGAACAAGCTGTGCAGAAGGTTGCAGAGACAAGGAATCATATGGAAATTTTCACTGGGCTATGTAAAATAGCCCAGCTTTATTCAATACTGGTTGAATTGGGTCTGGTGACCATTTTTCGGTAAACTCCTAGCAGATAGCCTGTATAGTAGCCATAAGCAGCTGGATACTAGAGGCAAGAAAAAGTTCATATAAGAAAAATTGTCTGACACAGCCTGTGAAGAGGAATCTGCCTTTTACAAAGCTTATGAGGATGTTCACTTGTAATCCCTTCACTATCTATATGGAATGTTTAGAGGCTATATCTGGGGTGTAGCTGCAATTTAGTAAGGTCTAGTCAAGGAGAACAAAGATCTCCTTTTAAGTCTCTCATTTCTGGTCTCACATCAACACCAAATAGAGAAATTCTGTACTTACCCTTTCTCTG